CCTAGGTCCAACAACACTTTGACTCATTGGTTATCCTAGGTCACATTGCTCGACCTTTATTGGCTCTCCTACACACACACATTGCTCGACTTTATTGGATATCTAGGTCACATTTTGCTCGACATTCTTATTGGTATCCAGGTCAACATTTGCCGACTATGGTTATCTAGGTCACAATTGCTTGAACTCATTGTGGATACATCCTAGTCCTCATCGCTCGACTTTGTTGTTTATCCTAGTCACATGCCATCGACTTTTAATGGGTTATCCTATTCCACATTGGCGTGACTTTATTGAGGTTCCCTAGGACCACATTGCTCCGACTTTATTGGTCTATCCTAGTCACATTGCACGACTTTATTTTATGCCTAGTCACATTGCTCGACTTTATTGTTATCCTAGTCACATTGCCGAACTTATAATGTTATCCTAGTCACATTGCTCGACCTAACATTGGCGTTACCGAGGTCACATGCTCACTTTATTGCGATGATCCTAGGTCACACACCTCGACTTTATTGGATATACACTAGTCAACATTTGCTCGCACTTTATTGTTAATCCTAGGTCACATTGCGCTCGACTTTATTGGTTATCCCCTAGGTCACATTGCTCGACTTTATTGGTTATCCCTAGGTCACATTGCTTACTATATTGGGTTAATCCTAGGTCACAAATTGCCGACTTTATTGGGTACTCCTAGTCACATGCTCGACTTTATTGTTTATCCTAGAGCACATTTGCTTGACTCATTGGGTTTATCACACACACACACACATGCACTTCTCCGACTGATATTTGTTATCCTAGTCACATTGCTCGACTTTCTATAGGGTTATCCTAGGTCACATTGCTCGACTTTATTGGTTATCCTAGGACACATTGCCGACTTTATTGGTTATCCTAGGTCACATTGCACGACTTTATTGGTTATCCTAGGATCACATTGCTTGACTTTCACATTGGGTTATCCCTATGTCACATTGCTCTCCGACTTTATTGGTTATCCTAGTCACATTGTTCGACTTTATTGGTTATCCTAGGTCACATTGCACCGACTTTATTGGTTTATTCATAGGTCACTTGCTCGAACTTTATTGGTTACCTAGGTCACATTGCTTCAAATTTAATTGGTATCCTCAGGTCACATTGCTACGAACTAGTTATTACGGTTATCGTAGGTCACATTGACTCACACACACACAATTGTTTATCCTAGGTCACAAATGCTCGACTTTAGTGGGTTATGCTAGGTCACAATTGCTCGACTTTATTGGGTTAACCTAGGGTGAAACCATTGCACCTCGAACTTTATTGGGTTACATCCTAGTCACATTGCTCGAGTATGGTTTATCCAAGGATCACATTCTCGACTTTATTGGTTATCCTAGGTAACATTGCTCGACTTTTATTGGGCTTCTATCCTAGGTCACATTGCTCGCTTTATTGGTTATACTAGTCACATTGTCGACTTATTGGTTATCACATAGGGTCGACATTGACTCGACTTTATTGGTTAATCCTAGGTCACATTGCTCGACCCTTTATTAGGCATTATCCCTAGGTCACATTGCCGACTTTATTGGGTTATCCTAAGGTCACATTGCTCGACCTTTATTGGTTATCCTAGGTCACATTGCTCACTTTATTGGTTATCCTAGGTCACATTGCTCTCGCCTTCTTATTGGTTATATTCCTAGGTCACATTGCTCGACTAAATTGGTTATCCTAGTCACATAGACTTCGACATCATGCGGTTATCCTAGGTACCACATGTCGACTTAATGGTATCCTAGGTCCACATTGCGTATGCCGACTTTATATGGTTATCCTAGGTCCACATTACTCGACTTTATTCGGTTATCCTAGGTCACATTGCTTCTGAACTTCATTTGTTAAACCTAGGTCACATTGCTCGACTTTATTGGTTATCCAGGTCACATAGCTCTGAAAAACTTTTATTCGGTTATTCCTAGGTCACAGTTGCTCGACACTTATGGGTTATCAGTCACATTGCTCGACTTATTGGGTATACCCTAGGTCACATTGCTCGACTTCTTATTGCGTTATCCTAGGTCACATTTGCTTGAACTTTATTGGGTTATCGTAGTCACAATGCTAACGACTTTATTGAGTTATCCTAGGTCCACATTGTTCGACTAATATTTGTTATACCAGTGCGCGACCACATTGCTCGACTTTATTGGGTACCCTAGGTCACATTGCTACGACGTTTATGGTTATCCTAGGTCACATTGCTCGAATTATTGGGATTTCCTATGGCGTCACATAATATGCTCACTTTATTGGTTATCCTAGGCGTCACACCACAATGCTTCGACTAATATATTGTTTATCCTAGGTCACATTGATCGAACTTTCTAGGGTTATGCTAGGAACACATTGCTACTCGACTTTATTGGGTTATCACTATGTCACATTGCTCGACATTATTGGGTTATCCTAGTCACATTGCTTTGCTCGACTATTGTTATCCTAGCGTCCCATCTGCATCACTTTATTGCTTATCCTAGGGTCACATTGCTCGACTATTTATTGGATTAAATACCTAGGTCACAATGCTCGACTGTTTATTGATTAAACTAGTCACATTAGTCACGCATTATTGGTTAACCTAGGCACATAGCGCGACTTTATTGGTATCCTAGTCACATAGCATCGACTTTATTGGTTATCCTAGTCACATTGCTCGACTTTATTGGTTATCCAAGGTCACAATTGCTCGACTTTATTTGGTATCCTAGGTCACATATTGCTCGACTTAATTTATTATCCCAAGGTACATTGCTCGACTTTTATTGGTTTTAACCTAGGTAACAATGCTCGACCTTTATTGTCTTATCCTGTCACATTGCTCGACTTCATTGGTTTATCCTAGGTCAACATTGCTTGACTTTACTGGTTATCCAAGGTCACATTGCTCGACTTTATTGGGTATATCCTAGGTCACATTACTCGACTTTATTGGTTAATCCTAGGTCACATTGCTTGAGACTTCATTGTGTTATCCTAGGTCACATTGCTCGTACTTTATTGGTTATCCCTAGGTCACATTGCTTCGACTTTTATTGGTATCCTAGGTCACATTGCTGCTCGAATTTATTGGTTATCCTAGTCACATTGCTCGAATTTAAGTGGTTTATCCTAGGTCACATTGCTCGCTTTATTGGTTATCCTAGGTCACATTGCTCGACGTAATTGGGTTATGCTTAGTCACATTGCTCGACTTTATTGGGTTATCCTAGTCACAATGCTCGACTTTATGGGTTATCCTAGGTCACATTGCTCGACTATTGGTTATCCTAGTTCACTTGCTCAACTTTATTGTTATCCCTAGTCACATTGCTCGACTTATGGTATTCCTAGGTCACATTGCCTTGACTATATTGTTAAACTAGGTCACCATTGCTCGACAGCTTATCTTGGTTAATCCTAGGTACAACAATTGCTCGACTTTATAGGTTACCCTAGGTCACAACTGCCGTACTTTATCGGATTATCCTAGTAACCCTACAATGCTATTCGACTTTATTGTTATTCCTAGGTCACATTTGCACGACTTGTTTGGGTTAGTCCGTAGGTCCGAGGGGACGGATTGGCTCGAACTTTATTGTTATCCTAGGTCCACATGCTCGAACTTTATCTGGGTTACACATCCTAGGTCACATTGCTACGCCTTTATTCGGTTATCCTAGGGTCCAATTGCTCGACTTCATTGTTATCCTAGTCACATTGCTCGACTATTAATGGTTAATCCTAGGTCCCAGTAATATGCTCGACTTATATTTGGTATATCCTAGGTCACATTAACTACGACTTTATTGGCTTCATCCCTAGGTCACATTAGCTTCGACTTTCCTTGCTGTATCCAAGGTCACATTGAATTGCTCGACTCTATTGGTTATCCTATGAGCACATTTTGCTCGACTTTATTGGTTCTATCCTAGGTCACATTGCTCGACTTTATTAGGGTTATCCTATCCACATTGCCTCGACATTATTTGGGTTCTACCTTGGACACATTGTCGACATTATTGGTACTATCCTAGGTCAAATATGCTCGACATTATTGGGTTAACCTAGGTCCACATTGCACGACTTCTATTGGGTTATCCTAAGTCACATTGTCCTGGTGGGCAGTAGTCCAAAGAAAAACAGATGTACTTAATGGTTCCAGGGACCTGACTCCCAAAGTTTTGATAGCTGAGCAAGTTACAGAGGTAATGAACTCAACAATTACAAAGGCACACACTCAACTCGCCATATAACCAAGGTAATGAGCTCACAATTAACAAAGGTAAGAACCTCCAGTTAGGTCTGGTCACAATCATGACAATATACAAAGGTATTTGCAGATTACAGAGGATACGTAAATGACGGTCCCAGAGAACAGGCCCCAAAGTTTTGATAGCAGAACTAGTACATAGGTACTGAATCCCTGTAAGAATGGTGTTTCTTACCTTACGTTTTATACCATGGCTACAAATCATGAACAAATTAAGAGTAAGAGCAATTACACACTATCCACACCCGGTCACAAACTGTAATGAATTATTGGTGCAAATATTGATTGTAAATCACACACACACAACACAACACAACACACAAACAACAATTTGGCGAGTGGTGTGAGCTGTGAGCGACTATAAGTTATCAGTAACAAACAGCTAAACAGCAACCTGTTTGGCTTCAATGGAAACAGTTTTGGTGTGATTTAAGAAGTAGTTTGGGGAGGAAATGGAGCATGGAAGTTTTGGAATGGTAATATTCCATGGAGCGGGAGTAGTGCCGCTGTTAGCGCCATTACTTGACAAAGATCATGTATCTGAATTCATGCGGAGTCGATTATCCAGATTTTTTTTTCGATCCATCTGGAGAGTGTTCCCATTGCTAGACACACACACATTAGGAGGGCTTCTGTGGCAGGGGGTTATGAATGAAGCATGCCTGAGCATATTAACCCCAATTATGATATTCTTTCAAGTAACAAACATCTCTGATGCTTGGGATATCAAGTTCTTTTTGCACTTTAAATTTTTGGCAGATCGACACAGCATCCTAAAATGATCCTCATTTGCTTCGTTCTGCATTTCTTCCAGCCCTACTCCAAGCTTCCAGTCAGACACAAGAGCAAGTAGTGGCACAGCAATAATCAACCAATTCGGTCTCTATAACCAAGATACCACACAATTTTTCACAATTTTAACATTAGCACCATACATCGGGGTGAAACCACAGCCACGACTCTAAGAGCTCTCAGTCTTTCTTTGTAATAGGCGACAAAATTCTTGTTACACAACAGGTCCCAAGTATGGTATCTCAAAGGCCTAGATTTACTGTAATCTGCTTACATATTCTAGAAGAAACCCATCATGCGCAATGAATCTGAGACGACCTTTGCCTCTCTGTCGAGGAGAACGGTATTGAGTATCTTTGCTTTTATCATAGAGGATTATCAACGCCCGAGGTCCTGAACAACGAAGGCTAGTACATAATTAAGAATGTTTTGAGTGTTGGAAATCCGGTGAAGTGAAATCATTGTATCATCAGCCAAACTAATTCTAATAAAGAATGGGCTGGCTAGGCAAGGCATTGAAGTAATGCTTTATTAGAATATTGAATCAGTGATCAGAGACTGAGCACACCTCCCTGTGGTGTTCCTAATTCAAAGTCTTTAGTTACACTTCTAAGTCCCTGAACAACACAAGAACGATATCTGTTGGACGGTAGCCTTAAACCAGCGGAGAACCATCCTCCAAACATCCATTCCTGCAATGCACTAATGCTTACATGCGGTTGCTAAATCGAAAAGCAGATTTAAGGTCAACACAAGGTTGTATGAGCTGTCATGTGTGCAGGGTGAAAAGTGGCTCAAGCAATGAATGACACACCACCATTCCATGCATGACACCATCAACCGGGAGACAACAATTGTTTGATCCTGTACAAGAGACATAAAGCACATCATTCTCTCAAATGTCTTACCCAGCACTTAGTAAGAGATTATTGGGCAATGCATTTTGTTGATTGGCTTAGCAATTGGAATGACTGAGGCCTGTTGGTACCAAGATTGAGGAGCTCCCCAGATAATAGCTCATGTTATATAATTCAAGATAATGGATTACCTGGTACTCACACAGCAATCTGAGTAGAGTTTAATAATAACCATACCCTCGCCACGTGACGTGGAGTTGCCCATAGTGCTGCATCAAGTTCACTAATTAGTGAATGGACACACTGCAGTCATCTCCCCCTTGCTGAACAAAAGCAAACAAGCGATCTCTCCCTTGCATCAATTTGTCATTTAATTTTTCCTGTCATGGTACAGGGGAAGATTGATTATAGCTAGCTGTAGCACCCCAAGCACTGACTAACTCATTCGAACCACTGTGTAAGGGAATGAGGGTGCCGATCTGCCACCAGCTTCTGTTACTCCTTAAATCATCTATTTATGTCCTCCATGCCCGGCTAAGTGGGGTGTGAGTCCATTAAGACCGTGACAAATGTTCCCAGTCTGTTATGCCGCACTCTGTCATAGTAGCTCCTCTGGCAACAGCACAGGCAGTTCTTGGAAGAGCCTCAGCTCTCAAGGTACAAATGTTTTCTATAGCTAGGCCTAGTCTGCGAGCATACCTTTAGTGCATAACGAAAGTTTAGAAGCATTGTACTTAGTTATGGTTTTTTGAAGGAGGTATGATTATTAGGAAAGTTTGTTGGTATAAGTCCAAGAGGTTATCAGTGCGGCTTCTAATAGTTCTGAATCACATGCTCACTAAGACACACACACACACACACACACTAACATAGGAACACATCATAGGAATTATACCAGTCAGTCACATGTGAAACAAAGTCATCAGCGATCAGTGGGGAACATTAATGCTTTCCGTTTGAACATACCCACCCGGAGGATAGGTATCTACCAATATCTAGAGAGGTTTAGCCACACTGGGATATGATCAGACGCTATAATCTGTTACAATGGAAGACTCCAGCTGCAGAACACACACACTTGAAGCCAAAGACACACACAGATCAATGCAAGGTTTGTAATGTCTGAAGAGTCTAAAATAATGCACACACACACACACACGGTTTGAGAAGTCACAAAATAATGCGCAAGGTGTTGTATGATTGAAGAGTCTAAAATAATGCAGGATTTATGTTTGAAGAGACTAAAAATAATGCAGGTGTTGTAATGCCCATGCTTCTGCCAGCTTATTCAATTTCGCGCCTCAAATGCTGCCACCTATAGGCCTTGCCACTTCAGTATGCCCAGACTTGCCTCGCTCTCACTCACACAGTGGCCTGGCATCAAGACACAAAGCCTCCCAGCTCTCTCTCGTGGGCATGGCCCCGCCCGGGCCATGGGCACAAACACACAAGCCTGTGTAACCCACCACTACTTAACAATAAACTAAGAAGCCTCCGAAGACGTATATCATTTACTCCCCGCTGCTTACAGCCTACCAAATAAACACCGTTATACTAGGTCACATTGCTCGACTTTTTTGGGTTATCCTAGGGCACATTTTTTTCGACTTTATTGGTTATCCTAGGTCACATTGCCCCGACTTTATTGGTTATCCTAGGTCACATTGCTCGACTTTATTGGTTATCCTAGGTCACATTGTCGACTTTATTGGTTATCCTAGTCGCATTGCTCGACTTTATTGGGGTTTTCCTAGGTCACATTGCTCGACTTATTGGTTATCCTAGGTCACATTGTTCGACTTTATTGGTTATCCTAGGTCACATTGCTCGACTTTATTGGTTATCCTAGGTCACATTGCTCGACTTTATTGGGTTATCCTAGGTCACATTGCTCGACTTTATTGGTTATCCTAGGTCACATTGCTCGACTTTATTGGTTATCCTAGGTCACATTGCTCGACTTTATTGGTTATCCTAGGTCACATTGCTCGACTTATTGGTTATCCTAGGTCACATTGCTTGACTTCATTGGGTTATCCTAGGTCACATTGCTCGACTTTGTTGGTTATCCTAGGTCACATTGCTCGACTTTATTGGGTTATCCTAGGTCACATTGCTTGACTTTATTGGGTTATCCTAGGTCACATTGCTCGACTTTATTGGTTATCCTAGGTCACATTGCTCGACTTTATTGGTTATCCTAGGTCACATTGCTCGACTTTATTGGTTATCCTAGGTCACATTGCTCGACTTTATTGGTTATCCTAGGTCACATTGCTCGACTTTATTGGTTATCCTAGGTCACATTGCTCGACTTTATTGGTTATCCTAGGTCACATTGCTCGACTTTATTGGTTATCCTAGGTCACATTGCTCGACTTTATTGGTTATCCTAGGTCACATTGCTCGACTTTATTGGTTATCCTAGGTCACATTGCTCGACTTTATTGGTTATCCTAGGTCACATTGCTTGACTTTATTGGGTTATCCTAGGTCACATTGCTCGACTTTATTGGGTTATCCTAGGTCACATTGCTCGACTTTATTGGTTATCCTAGGTCACATTGCTTGACTTCATTGGGTTATCCTAGGTCACATTGCTCGACTTTATTGGTTATCCTAGGTCACATTGCTCGACTTTATAGGGTTATCCTAGGTCACATTGCTCGACTTTATTGGTTATCCTAGGTCACATTGCTCGACTTTATTGGTTATCCTAGGTCACATTGCTCGACTTTATTGGGTTATCCTAGGTCACATTGCTTGACTTTATTGGGTTATCCTAGGTCACATTGCTCGACTTTATTGGTTATCCTAGGTCACATTGTTCGACTTTATTGGTTATCCTAGGTCACATTGCTCGACTTTATTGGGTTATCCTAGGTCACATTGCTCGACTTTATTGGTTATCCTAGGTCACATTGCTCAAATTTATTGGGTTATCCTAGGTCACATTGCTCGACTTTATTGGTTATCGTAGGTCACATTGCTCGACTTTATTGGTTATCCTAGGTCACATTGCTCGACTTTATTGGGTTATGCTAGGTCACATTGCTCGACTTTATTGGGTTATCCTAGGTCACATTGCTCGACTTTATTGGGTTATCCTAGGTCACATTGCTCGAGTATTGGTTATCCTAGGTCACATTGCTCGACTTTATTGGTTATCCTAGGTAACATTGCTCGACTTTATTGGGTTATCCTAGGTCACATTGCTCGACTTTATTGGTTATACTAGGTCACATTGCTCGACTTTATTGGTTATCCTAGGTCACATTGCTCGACTTTATTGGTTATCCTAGGTCACATTGCTCGACTTTATTGGTTATCCTAGGTCACATTGCTCGACTTTATTGGGTTATCCTAGGTCACATTGCTCGACTTTATTGGTTATCCTAGGTCACATTGCTCGACTTTATTGGTTATCCTAGGTCACATTGCTCGACTTTATTGGGTTATCCTAGGTCACATTGCTCGACTTATTGGTTATCCTAGGTCACATTGTTCGACTCATTGGTTATCCTAGGTCACATTGCTCGACTTTATTGGGTTATCCTAGGTCACATTGCTCGACTTTATTGGGTTATCCTAGGTCACATTACTCGACTTTATTGGTTATCCTAGGTCACATTGCTTGACTTCATTGTGTTATCCTAGGTCACATTGCTCGACTTTATTGGTTATCCTAGGTCACATTGCTCGACTTTATTGGGTTATCCTAGGTCACATTGCTCGACTTTATTGGTTATCCTAGGTCACATTGCTCGACTTTATTGGTATACCTAGGTCACATTGCTCGACTTTTATTGGGTTATCCTAGGTCACATTGCTTGACTTTATTGGGTTATCCTAGGTCACATTGCTCGACTTTATTGGTTATCCTAGGTCACATTGTTCGACTTTATTGGTTATCCTAGGTCACATTGCTCGACTTTATTGGTTATCCTAGGTCACATTGCTCGACTTTATTGGTTATCCTAGGTCACATTGCTCGAATTTATTGGGTTATCCTAGGTCACATTGCTCGACTTTATTGGTTATCCTAGGTCACATTGCTCGACTTTATTGTTTATCCTAGGTCACATTGCTCGACTTTATTGGGTTATGCTAGGTCACATTGCTCGACTTTATTGGGTTATCCTAGGTCACATTGCTCGACTTTATTGGGTTATCCTAGGTCACATTGCTCGACTATTGGTTATCCTAGGTCACATTGCTCGACTTTATTGGTTAT